GCATCCCTTCTATGTTAACTCATCCCGCCAATCGGAAATTCCCAGCCCACACAGAAAATGCATTCAACACCAGAGCGTTAAGTTCCAGTATTAACGCTGGAATGCGGAACCCATTTTCCACATGCATGGACTTGTGAAAATTTCTAAACTTGAAAAAAGTTTGCACGGTACTTGAATACGTAAATTTTAAATTTTAAAAACGATCGTTGTTTTTTTTTACCGAAACCAATAACTGTGTAGTGCAAGAACAAACACTGTAGATACAAGATTTAAAATTTTCAAAACTGCCATGATTTCGTTATAGGACGACATCTATGTGTGGTGAGGGGACATACGAGTACATTCATAGAATAGAGAAACTGACGATGGTTTTTCGCTGAAGAACGCCATGAATGATTGATATGTAGGGATTTAAATTCATAAATTTTGAAGCGGACAAATGGTTTCATAGCATAGTCATATCCATGAGTCGTGCAGGGACGTAATTTCACGAATTATAGAACTGAAAACGGTTTTTCTTTTTCATAGCAAAATGACATTTATGAATGCTGCCAGAACTTTCATTGTAGAAAGAACATTGCTGAATGAAATTTAGGAGTGCTACACGGACATGAATTTTTATATTCTGAAACGAAAAATTCTTCTGTTGTAGAACAACATTTGTGAGTCGTTTACGGAAATACTGTAAATTCATAAATTTGAAAACGAAGAATGGTTCTGTTGCAGAACGTCATGTATGAGTTGTGCAGGGTTATAAATTCAAAAATCTGAAAATAGACATCGATTTACTAGGAACGCAGAACGACATCTATGGGTGTTACAGGGCCATAAATTCATAAAATTTTAAAACTGACAATGCTCTTGTTGCAGATTGAAAACGTACATGAGACCTGCAAGGAAATAAATCCATAACTTTGAAAACGAACAATGAAGCTTTGGCAACGTCTTTCTGTAGTTACTCACCATCTACTTGTATTTAAGTATGTAAAAACTTTCCTATTACGAGAACATATCGTCGTCTTGCTGTAGGTACTCAGCACGTCGCTGTATTTAAGTATTTAACCTAAAAAAAGACAACTGTTTTTCATTCTTCACTCGCAGAACGACATGTGTGGGTGATGCAAAAACACAAATAGTAAAACGGACATCGCAGAACGACATCTATGACTGCTAGAGGGAATTCAATTCATTACTTCGAAAACAGACAATGATTTTCTTTCTTTGCAAAACACGACATTTACGAGAGCTACAGGGACGTACATTCATCAATTTTAAAACTGACAATGCTCTTGTTGCAGAACGACATACACGGAAAGGAAATAAATTCATAAATTTGAAAACGAAAAATGAAACGTTTCGTCGCAGAACGACATCTATGAGTGATGCAAAAAACACAAATTGTGAAACGGACATCGCAGAACGACATCTATGAGTGCTAGAGGGACATACATTTCAACACAGACATGCCAAAGTAACGTCTTGCTGCAGATATTCAGCATGATGTCCTTTTATTTAAGTTTTTAAACTTTTGCTTTTTACTACGGGAAACAACGTGTTACTGTAGATACTCACGATGTCCCTGTATGTAAGTAAAAAAGAAAATATAATGCTCTTGTACAGACAGCAGAACAACATTAATGAGTCTTGCAGCAACTGTTGGGCATGCATGCTGTGTACAGTAACATACTCTAAAATAATTCTTGGAAGTAAAAGCATTTCCCCCTCCTTAAAATTGCAGAGCCAGGAACATCCTGGCACCGCAGCATCTTTGACAATAACCTTTTCTATTCTGATTCTAAAGTCAAACCTTGTGAAGGTCAATTATTAATTGTCATTCATATAAGGAGCACTTTTTTAAGATCAGCATGAGGTTTCAGGTAACCCTCAGACGGCAGAGGGTTCATTTCCATTGTGAGGCAAAGTTGGGATATTTTTGGGGGGTGGAGCATTTCAGTTTGACCCAAGGTTGCTGAAATGCTCCCAGGTTGAGAAGGCCCAAGTTGGGAAAAATCCGGGAGGCGAATTCTCTTTTGTTTTCAGGAATCTTACATGCTGATCCTATACCAGGAATGCAGGAAAAAACGCCACCCAGTGAGGGATTTTTTATTTTTCATCCAAAATTTTCTGCTGGATTAGAAAAAATGTCGGACGTTTCCCCAACTCAGGCCTTCCTACAAAAGTTGCATTCCCAGTTCTCAGTGACACGAAATTTCGCAAATATTTCCGGACTTTGCTGCACAAGGGTTAAACTGTGTTATTCAAGCTATTTCCAAACTTATTCCTGCAAGTCAAGCTTGTTGAGTTGTTTATTCATTTATACTTGTGTGAAATACAGTTTATCCCTTCAACGTAGGAATTCCAGAATGGAATCCCAGTCCTGTCCCAGACTGATCAACTTGTTTTATTGTTCACCAATTAGATACTGGACATCAAATTATATCGAGGCCTTTTGTGCCCAATAGCGACATAAATTTGAAAAAGGATACAGTAATGGTTTTGTTGTCTTCCCTCGCAAGAACGACATCTACGAGTGGTGCAGGGACCACAGGGTGCACCACAAGTTCAGCGAAACCGACGCGGACCCACACAATTCCAACCGTGGCTTCTTCTTCGCCCACATCGGCTGGCTCCTGTGCAAGAAGCATCCCGAGGTCAAGAGCCGCGGCAAAAACGTCGACTTGTCCGACCTGCTGGAAGACCCCGTCGTCTACTACCAAAAAAAGTGGGTCACGATTCCCTTCCTCGAATAAATAAGGCGATGGAGGCAAGAAAAAGTCATTTGAACGAGAAAAAAAAAAGAGTCAAGAGCTTTGGATTCACCCCTCCAACATCCAAACCACCCAGAAGGTGGGACAACACCTATACTGTACCAGACTGACCCACATCAAGGTTTCCTTTCTCGACCCTACGTTAATTGAGCCTGTTCACACTTGGAGAAAAAAAAAACTGGATTCCCAAAAGGGGTTCCGAATCAACATGAAAAGGGCTTGTTCATTAGTTTTGTTAGTACAATACTATGAATCAATTCCATCCATTTGTGGTACAATATGTGAGTGACTGAAAATTCTTTTGTATCACCAGAATATAAAGAAGCTCACTCTCCATTTGAAAATAACTACTGTATATTCAATTGCAGCACTGATTGGGTAACTTCTTATCATGAACCACCTGACATTTTATTGCAATATTAATGGACAAAATTGAAAACAACAGTAAAAAAAAAAAAACAAGTAAGATATTGGAACAAGACTTACAATGAACCCATTGGGACCAGTAGAATAGCTCTGTCGTAAAGAAAAATGCCTTACAAAAGTATTTCACTTAAAATTGCAGCTATTGGACAGGGACTTAAGAAACACCTTATTTTTAGAGAACCTAATTCGTTGTAAGCAATGTATTTACTATGATGAGATTTGTTGCAACAAGATTCCACTGTGCAGTACTGTATCACAATTCAATTCTAATTGACATAATCATCCATGAAGTAATTATGTATTCATTAGCATTGTCGGGGGACTGAGTCTTGGTAACTCAAAAAATATTAAAAGTGTGGATCAAGAAAAGTTGAAAAGGTGTCAAATTTTGTAAAGATGAAGAAAACACAAATATTAATCTGGGACAGGCCAGGAATTCCTGTAGAATTCCAAAGTAGAGCCAAAGATTTGTTTCTGTGAATTGTCTCAACAATTTTTTGCCAACTAAGTACAAAGTTAGAAGATTTCCTATGATTTTATTTTCCAAGCCAAATGGCACTTCAGTAGAAAGTCAGGCTCAGTAACAGAAAGTGCTATCCAGAAATTACTCTCTTCATTTCATCAGAGAGACTTACAGTACAAATTTTGACTTGTCTTGGATTATCTGTATCAGAATCCACTTTACATTACTGTACAGCACTGTATTTATTACCCATTTCCCACAAATTTTTTGTTCCCATTCTGCTAAAAAAACCATGAATCTCGATATAAAAAAGTTTTCGTTCTGACGAAATTTTCATCAGGCCCCTGGGAGATCGTTGAGACGATATTTTACTGTACTTTAATTGCAAACTTTTTTAATTTTTTGATGAAACGTGGTTTAATAATCTTAATCAAGACTTCCTTGATCTTCCACAAAATCCATCAATTATTTCCTAGAAAACTGCACAACGACTTGAAACCGTTGCAATTAAATGCCTCAGTGAAGATTTATAAGGCAAAATGATCTGTACCACTTACACTCCTGGCAAATTGCGCTAAAAATGTGTAACTAATGATGAAAATGTAATTGATGTGAAACAAAGCACTTGAACCAAGACAGCTTCAAACCCCCGAGGTGGTTGCAATCTAGTCTTGGGAAAAACTCCCAGGCCAAATTGGAGAAAACTCAAAAAAAGAAAAAAAGGGACCATGGCATTTGATAACTTTTCCCTAATAATGTTCTAAATGGGTTAATCATTAGAAGCTCCTCAAATTATTTCCTGCAGGTCACATTTCATTTTATTCTGTTTTTCGACGGGATAACATTTTCCGGGTAAGAATAAGAAGAAACGCTGGAAATTCGAGATATCATCTGCCAAGAATGGCAGTTTTTTTTAAACGCTCTTTTCTTTTTTTTTTACATTCTTAAAAAGATTCACATTTAATAAATTTAAAAATACTGTATAATCGACCAACCAATAAATGAACCATGGATTCAAACGCTTTTCCGGAACATCACAGAAAATGTTCGATTTTTCCGGCACATTTCATTTTATTTTTTATATTTTGGAGCCAAGAGAAAGGAGCAAGGATAGCGAAAGGAAGAACAATCACTGCTAATTGCGAATTTTTTCGGAAACTCACAATGGAACTCCATTTTCCGACTCCATCACTTTCAACTTTCACCAATCGAAAGTTCACAATATTGCCTACGCTTCTTGAAAATTAATTTGCATGCTTCAATAATTTTCCCAAAACTTGTTTTTTCTTTCCTCGGCACGAAAGGAATAAAATACCGTACGAAACAAACCGCAGAATCGTTTCTCACTTCGGAAATTTTCAACAGATGAGTTTAAGCGTGAGGCAGAAAATACAGTAATTCCATTAGGCTCTTTGAAAACTTTATACGGAATAATGACTATATTTCTGACAATCATGAATGAAAATTACCCAAGAAGTCGCCCAAAATGCTCTGCTTTAAACAGTAAAAACAACAGTAAAATGAATGAAAGCGAATCGTTTTTAATCAATCAAAGACAAATTTATTGACTAAATTCGAATAATTCTCAGCCGAACTTCATCATATTTTTGCGATCAGTCGGGAAATACGAAAAGAAAATATCACAAGTGATTGACTGATGAAGTAGACCAAGCAAGTTCCGAATTAAATTTTGGTTTCTATTGCTCAGGGAAGTACTCTTAAAGTTTCTGAACATTTCTTCAAAAAGAGAGCCATTACAAATTCATAATCATGCCATTTGGAATTGGAACGCATGAAAAAGCTTCACAGGTTCTAGGTTTCAATCTAAGCAAATTGATTTATCTAAAAAAATGTTATCATATTCACCGTGAAAATTCATTTTAATTTACGAGTGCCGTACGGAACGAAGCAGTATTTCAAAAAATGCAATAAATAATCAAGCTGCAATACATCGTTGATCGATTTTCTCGTGAAGATCAAATAAATAATTAAAAACAATGAAAAATACCTCAATGAAATTCGGAAACTCAGGTTCATTTTTTGGGAACGCATCAATTGTTCTCTGATACATTTCCGGGGGATGCCCCACTTTTGAATGCCCCAAACAAAGAACCACTCGTAGGAAAAACTTTCAAGTTCTTAGTGAGAAACAACAATGCGAAATGTTTTTCATTCCAACCATGTTCACAAAATTGAACCTATTTCTTACTTTTGTTCGGGAATTTCAAGCAAGCATAAAATAATTTGGGGAGGAAGAATGACTGAAAGGTGACCTTCGTCTTTCAATTCCTTGGTTCTCGCCGTCAGATTTTATCCACTGCTGATCGTGGTCATCTGCTTCGGAATGCCAGTTCTAGTACCCTGGTACTTCTGGAACGAAAATGTCATTTTCTCCTTCTTCATCTGCGTTTGCCTGCGGTATTGCGTCACACTCAATCTCACGTGGTTGGTGAACAGCGCTGCTCACATTTGGGGAAACAAACCTTACGACAAGTAAGTAACCTTTCTTTTTCCGTATCATCTTAAAAGAGTCAAAAGCATCTCTGAGGTGAGAAACTCATTAAATAAAAATTGCTCCTGGTCCCAAAATATCATCAGCCCAAGTTTCACTAACCTCGATTCGTTCGTTGATCTCGTCGAATTCGACTTGGAGAGGTCCGACTTACACGTTTCCGGACCAAGTCATGACATAAAATTGAGGGTAAAAATCTGATTCTCAGCTCCTCAATCAACTCGGGATGGGTTATTCAATCGGGTATTAATCAGTACGTGAGAGACAACAATAAAGCAGACGATATAAATAAATAATTTACACATGTTCCCACTTCAATTCTCCAATAATAGAGTCCGAATTCTTCAGTTCAACATTGTACATCTTTCAACCAAGAATTCTGTCTAAAAATGAATATCTCCTCACGAACATTTACTTCTGGTCTCCAGAGAACTTTCAACAATGAAAGAGACATCATCTTAACAAGATTTGTTTTTAGCATTACGATTAGTTTTCAGTACTGTACAAGCCCTAAATTTTTCCTAAAAATTGAGCGAAAAAATCGGGTGTGCAATATTCTCACGTCTGAATTTGTTCTGCAAATTTTTTTTTCGTGCAAATCGTTATTCAACTACATTCAGTTAAATTTGAAGTCACAATTTTTAGAGACTAAAATGATATCCAGTAGTTGGGCTAAAAATCGAACTGGCAGATGAAAATGTGCAACGGAATCAAATGCTTTATCATCGTCAATCCAAGTTGTATCATATTCAACTTTAAAATTCTAGCGTTTATTTCCTTAAATGAATTCGTTCTTTTGCGTCACAGAGAAATATCCCCAAAATATTTGCCTGAAAAATTGAAGAGCGTGTCTTACACAAAGGCTCATGGTGACAGAGTTGACATGGGTACGGTATTTTATTCCAGAGAAAGTTCGCCGGCATTTTATCGAAACGCCCAAAAAGATTAAAAACCGGAATATAGTCAATGTGCTTTTTATTAAGTACAAGCGCATAGTTCCTTGCATTCCCAACCTCTTTTTGCCTTCTTTTGGCCCACAGCACTAGAGTAAGGTAGTGTTAGCCAGAAGCTGGGTCTTTGTAGTAAGATGTTCAACTGAATCTACTGTACTTGAAGTTCTTACTCGGGTAAATTGGGCTAAAAAATGTAACCGGTTTCGAATCATTTGAAGGTATCAATCTGACATCTGGGTCTTGAAAAAGAAAGGGGTCAGTGAATATAAGGGTGGAAGACGCCCTCAAAACACCTGTTGTAACAAGAAGCAATATTAGTTCGTCGGTAGAAAGAACTCTTCTAATTTTGACCTGAGTTTTGATGGCGTAATAGTGGCGCTCCCGTTAGTTGTAAGGCTCCTACTCCGTAACGAAGTTCTTTTTAAAATGCTACATACTTCCACCACAACCAATACATCTTCACGCGATCCATTTCCAAAATTTACGATTGGTCTTCTTTATATCCTCGCAAAACTGACCCAACTGATCTCAAAATTCAATGATAAGTACAACAATCAAACCTGGATAACTCTAACTTCCGCAAGTAGAACATTTTTCAAATCAATGTCTGAATTTATTTTGTTAATGAAATAAAACCCTCCCTAACTCAAAGGCTTTCCCCTCAAACCTCAATAACTCAAATTTCCCAAAGGTCTTTTGGCTATCATTTTATTGAAACTCGAAAGAGGAAAGCAATAAAAATGTAACTCGATGCATTTTTAGAAGAAATGAGACTAGTTTTGTAAGTGAACCCATGCCTCCATATTCAGTGTGGAATAATACATGGATAAGTAATTCAAGACCAACAACATCCCAATTCCTGATTTCCAGAAATTCTTCTTTCCTTCCTGCCAACAAAAATGCTCGTTTCCCCAACCTTAAACTATCCCAAATTATATTTCGCTAGGCCCTTGAAGTTCAAATGTAATACTGAAAAACAGAAGGTTGGAATGAGGAAATAAACCTCAGTTTTGTCTTTCGTGTACAGGTGGTACAGGTGGCAAGTTGACCATCCCACAATTCATCCATACCGCAATTTGATTGTTGAATTTGCTGGGAGGTTGACTGGAAATTTGACCTCTGCCCTCAAGTTAGAACCACATAGAGACGCAAAACATAAAATACAGCGTAGAAAACATCAAAATTGTCTTTCAATTTGACTGCTTCACAATTTTACCCTAGTCCAGCAACAGATTATGGTCAAATTTTGGGGCACCACCTGAATCACTGGTTGAAAAAGCATAGTACTGTATCTCCACTGTATCACTTTCAACTCATCTCTCTTCGTTATAATCAAGCAGCCATCTTTCTTGAGAAGATTAAAACTGGACTCAAAACTACCGCATTATCACCGCGAGGGCAATCAACATTCCGAGGATGAGGCATTGCTTCAAGAAAAATTTTACGATTATACTTCCACGACAACCAATACATCTTCACGCGATCCATTTCCAAAATTTACGATTGGTCTTCTTTATATCCTCGCAAAACTGACCCAACTGATCTCAAAATTCAATGAAAAGTACAACAATCAATTCTGGATAACTCCAACTTCCGCAAGTAGAACATTTTTCAAATCAATGTCTGAATTTATTTTTTTTAACGCAATAAAACCCTCCCTAACTCAAAGGCTTTCCCCTCAAACCTCAATAACTCAAATTTCCCAGAGGTCTTTTGGCTATCATTTTATTGACTCTCAAAAGAGGAAAGCAATAAAAATGTAACTCGATGCATTTTTAGAAGAAATGAGACTAGTTTTGCAAGTGAACCCATGCCTACATATTCAGTGTGGAATGATACATGAAGTAATTCAAGACCAACAACATCCCAATTCCTGATTTCCAGAAATTCTTCTTTCCTTCCTGCCAACAAAAATGCTCGTTTCCCCAACCTGAAACTATCCCAAATTATATTTCGCTGGGTCCTTGAAGTTCAAATGTAATGCTAAAAAACAGAAGGTTGGAATGAGGAAATAAGCCTCAGTTTTGTCTTTCGTGTACAGGTGGTACACTTTGCAAGTTGACCATCCCACAATTCATCCATACCGCAATTTGATTGTTGAATTTGCTGGGAGGTTGACTGAAAATTTGACCTCTGCCCTCAAGTTAGAACCACATAGAGACGCAAAACATAAAATACAGTGTAGAAAACATAAAAATTGTCTTTCGATTTGACTGCTTCACAATTTTACCCTAGTCCAGCAACAGATTATGGTCAAATTTTGGGGCACCACCTGAATCACTGGTTGAAAAAGCATAGTACTGTATCTCCACTGTATCACTTTCAACTCATCTCCAAAATCGGTTTGTCCCAGCATTTTGTTTCTTCTCACAGTACCGTACTCTTTTTCCTCACAGATCGATGAGTGCTTCGGAGAACAGGAAAGTTGCCATGTCGGTCCTCGGCGAAGGTTGGCACAATTACCACCACGCCTTTCCCTGGGACTACAAAACGTCTGAACTCGGGAGATACTCTCTGAACCTTTCCGCGGCGTTCATCGACTTTTTCGCTTGGACCGGCCTTGCGTATGACCTCAAGACCGTGCCAAAATCTGTGATTCTCGCACGTGCGAATCGAACCGGCGACGGATCGCATCACTTGCAACAAGACGGCACTCAAAGCGGATGACAAAATTCAACACTTCGTATCACAATCGGCGGATATTCTTCTCCTTTGCAGAGAAGCAGTTTTTGTTTGCACGGCACGTCGGGAGAAGAAAACTCTCGTCTCGCGATAATTTTCGAAGCACTCGAACAAAAAAAAGGAACACTCCATTTAGCAAAGAGTCGATCGGATTTCATTGCTCCAACTATCTGGAATCGAAAAAGAAAACGAAACAGCATTCAGAAGATGTACAAGTGTAATATTCCCATGTTATTCGTGAGAACAGAGATCTGTCTTCCTAATATTTTCCAATCATATATCAAAGCGTGGGGCAACTGGACAAGAGCCATACGAAAGCAGGTCATTCATTCTTGGATTTGAGACGACTGAAATGCGTTCAAGAATCGTTTCATTTAACCGGGAATCTTATTTCACTTTATATTTGTTCTACGGCTTCGGGTTGCACAAATCGCCAGTCACATGGGTGACATTCCGTTGAGTGTAATTCGACGTGATTCTAATTTAAGTTAATTCTTGGTTTTCGAATTTTTTGCCACATGTTGACGTGAGAAAACATTGTTATTTTCTTATTCAAGGGCTTCGGTGCGTTGTAGTTGACGACGGGGAAAATGAGTTTGTTCGTTGCGTTCGTCCTTGTTGATTTGGTGCAGTGTTGGTTCAAAGGTATCTTTTGACCGGGGACCGTTTTGAAAAATATACCACAATTCAAAACGCATTACCGAGTTTTCAAGGGCAGTAATCCACAAAACCGTTGGATCCATTTATGGAGGCGGTCTGAATAATTTTCACTCCAGTCACGAAGAAACATAAGCACGTTTGGCAAGTCACTGTCAAAACATCAGAACAACTTCAACTCAAGGATTTAAACGAAAATCTCGAAGGAAATGAATATCAATAACGGGAATATCACCGATGAACCAAGTTTTTATTTTCCCCGCCTCGTCAATGTCTTCAATAATGCTGATAACTCCCAAAACCCGGGTTGAGGGTACGTTAATGAACACATGAACACTGTTGTCTGCACCACAGAAGTTACCAAAATGAATCTGAAAAATCTTTCTAAGATGGTCGCACTTCTTAGGTAATATGTCTTTGAAGACAGTCAATCAGATGAATAAGAACTCCCCCAAACATTCGAATAAGAATTTTTGCTCTTCTAGACGGCAATGAAAATGATAAGTTGAAAATAATTTGTTACTGAACAATGCATGGATATAGCGCTCATTTAATTCGTTTTTCCAGTGTCCGGAACAATGGATAAATATTTGTCAAATTGGCAACGCATTCGCCCCAAGTCCTTTTCTAACTTTATCGTTTAGAAATAATTTCACATTTTGCGTGTCAATTGCTGAAACGTTCGTTCAAATTTTTTTGTTCGATTGGAGACCCGTCTTCACGCAATGCGAAGTTTAGGAACACTTCGAAAATTTTAAATTTACCGATCGTAGCTTGGGAGATGCTACAATTAATCGCTCATCCATTTCCATTTTTCTTCAACCTCATATGACCAGAAACCAAAGAGTAAAACATGCTTTACACAGCTAATGACAATCAAATTTCCGATTGTATCCAGTTCGTGTTCATTCCTTATTATCATTCGAATGTCATCAGCGGGATAAGAAAGATTTAAGATGGCACAAAACAAATGGGAAACTCGAACAATTTACCAAGTTGGTCTTCATGAATATTTGCATCCAAGAGTTCTCGAAATCCAATCGCAAATTTGAAAGAAGAACCCCTGAAATACTGAAAGTAGTACAGTATTTTGACCGAAATCGAAATCAACATGAGCCAACAGTGGCTCGAAAACACGTAACAAACAACCAGGGGTCCTAATTTCTTCCGTCATCCACGTTAATCACGAAGATATCAATAGAAGCTTGACCAAGGTGTTCACTTTCTGCATAATACGAACAGCTCACGTCCGCGTCGCGCGTCAGGGAAAAACGAGTGGAAAAATTTGGCGCACACGGTGAACTTCCGGTCTGCAAAATATTTCCGAGTGAGGATCTCGAGCAAAGAGTCAAAAATCACGACGTGACTAAATTTCTCCACGGGATACAAATCAATGGCATTCAGCGGGTCCGCAAAAAATCTGTCTGCTTCGTCCGGCGACTGTTGAGGCTCGCACGTCAGAAACTGCATCGGAACGTTTCTCAACAAATGGCTGACGATTCAAGAAAGAAACACAGATCACTTTAACAAAGAGCACATCAGAAGATAAATTCTCAAAATAGCAAGTGAACACACAAATCACTGAAACCGAAATCGGCACGAGAGAAACACGGACTTTTATATTTGGTGGCGTTTCAGTTTTGCAGGTAACCATAATTACGGCTTCTGAACAGCACGAATATTTTGAATTAAAATCGTCTAAAATTCTGTAACAAATTTTTAAAACCATGTTCAATTCGAAAATACACGAGCTGAAATCCAGATTCCTATTGGGAATGCTTCGGAAAATCAACGTGGCAGAAGTAGGATGAACGGAATCTTGCCGGACTACTTGTACAGTAGTCCCAAAATTATGTAAAAATCTGACACTGCGGAAGTGCGTTTAACGCACTGAATTATTTGCAGGCAAAAATTTTTCCAGTTTCAAGATATAAAAATCTAGGTGCGTCTGATTTTCGGTATTCGGAGTAGAAACGGATACTGAAAGCCCAAGATTTCGAAGTCCCAAAGGTATATAGATCACGATAAGGTCGTTCTCAGACATTCCCCCCCCCCCCCACCATTCAAATCGTCTACCTTCAGTTTATTCAATACTTTTCATTTTTGCCATTTCTTTTCTGCGTGAAGAATCGTCTCACCTATAAAATGGCGTCGAGTGACAAGGCGTTAAAAATAATATGCCACTGCTGTCCAACTTGGGTCCATCGCCAACGTAATCGTGCAAAAATCGCATCACTTGTATCGGTGCATATTGATGCATCGTGCCGCAGAATATGGCAATGGGGAAATTGGCAAGAAACAGGCCAGCAAGTATCCACGCAGTCCTATGGAAACGGAAAATTACAAGATTCTGATTTTATTGATTGCCTCAGCATACCTGAAAAACCTCAGATGCGCAGAAAAACGCACACAGCACATCTTAAAGAATTTGAACACGCATTGAAATTAACGTCCACATATTCACTGGATGAAGAACTTTTGGAATTCCAATAGTTCAGGAAGGGTTATTCACAGGCAGTCATTCGTATTTTTGATAGAATGAGAGTCAGAGATTAAATTTATTGCGCTCATGCACACAGCTACAATACCATACAACTGTTGATGGGAGTAAATTTCAATAAAATCAACAGAATCCAATGAAAAACTGTTCCAACAGTTCATGTTTCAAATTTCGTGAAATCCTTCCGACGTTTCTCCGTATTTCAAAAGTAATTCCGATGCATTCCTACATGGATTAACAACAAAATCGGGAAAAACTTGAAAACACTGGCTTTCCCAATACACACGTTAATTGCTTGTCATTCATCATAAAGAAGAGCACACAGGAAAATCCAGCAAATTACACCAGCACACTTCCAATTAAAGCAATTTCTACATCGAAATATTTCAAGCGGAAAGGCTGGCGGAAGATTTTAAAATAAAAATCTCCTTCGACTCACTTCCGGGGCTTTTCTTCTTTGGATTTCCGTTTCTCCAACGAATCTGCCAGCCACAGACCACCAAGCATGTTGATCAGCGGCATAACCGGAGCTAGAAATCTATGCTCCTTGTGCGACACAACACTGGGAAACGAATCGAGAGGCATTTTCACACAGGTTATTTCGGAGAAGAATACTCCCCTTTTGATTATCTGTCGATTTTTAAAATTACGGCGGATACCTTATAAACATAATTTAAAAAGTAACTGAAAAAGGCGGATCATTCTCTATGACGAAAACGCATGATTCTTTTCCGTTGAATGGAAATCGGGTTTAAAATTTACTACAACGGAATTTTCATTACTCTTAGTTGGAGAGTAGGACATACAAGAACAAATATTCTTCTAGGAGAGTTCGAGTTGATTGCGTGCTGATAACCAAAACAGAAAGAGACTCTTTTCATCATGGAGAAATTGAATTTCATCAACGTTCATCTTGAATTTGCACGTGAACTTGTTTACATTTTGACGAAATAATCAAAAACCTGTGTCTAAAATTTGTGGGTGTGGTTACATTCCTAGAAAAGACGGTATGCTCAAAGTCGGCACAGTATTTTGAGATGCAGATTCAATCATTTACCTGAGCATGGCGACGTACAAAACAATGCTGGCGATCACTGGCCACTTATCACTTCCAACACTTGACTTGCGTAGGGTTTGCAAAATTGCAAATACAAAAGGAAGAACATGGAAACTGAGAGCGGTCGGCAATCCGATGCTGAGATACCAGTGCCACGGGAGCGATCCATAGTGATCTCCAACTGCTTCGAAAAAGTTCACCTTCACGAACTCCCACATCGTGAACACTGTTCGTCCTGACATGTGTGTATCGAGGGCAGTCGATATTCCAATGACCATGAAGCTAAATACAGTACAATTGATCATTGATAACTCTAACCTCCTTATGTCGATTTCTTCTCAAGTCGAATTCCAAATTCTCTTAGAAATAATGCAATAAAAACCTCCTTGACTCGAAAAGGTGGACTCTTGCCTTCACGTTAAGCATCATGTCAACTCAGTTCAACGCCAAGAATATCACAAATTACGAACTCCTGTAGTTCTTCTTCCTTTCCCGCAACGAAACTGTTTTTTGTTATTCCGAACTCGAATTTTTTTGCTAGTCCCTTGAAGTTCAACTCAAGGAGATTCAACCACATCGATGCAGTCATCAAATCACCTCAATACATCAACCACAAAATGGAAAGCGTCACTAACATCAGCACAAAGCATGTGCATGTCAACATAAACGCAAAAAAACACTCATCATTGAAGTTTGAAAAACAGAAGTTAACTAAGCAAATATAAACTCGGAATCTTCCTTTTACGATGAGCATTGATTTTGTACATTCGTTGATCTCTTGAGTGGTGAATCTTGACTCTCGTGTTAAGTAGCCTACGGACGATTGAAAATCCTTCAGAAACAACTCGGTAAGAACTGATCTTCTTATCGAATGACAGGAAATAAAAAAATTTTCAATCGTTCAAAAAGATTCGTAGAGGAATCATGAAAGAAAAATTACAGAATCCCCAGTAAGTATGGTCCGAACGAGGGAGTTGAGATTTTGTCCATGACTCTTCGCTCACGTTTTCTCACCCTATGAATCCAGCTGTGGCAAAAATATCGGCTTTGCGATGAGACATCAGGAAATGGTAGATCAGAAACGGCAGCCACAACACAGCAGACGTTGGTCGAATGCAGAAAGACAATGCCGCGAAGAACATGTATCCAGCCGAGAGTTTCTCTGCGAAAAATGGCAGAAACACTCAGATTAACTCATGAAACCATGATCTTTCCATAAAATGAAATACAATATTACTCAGCGAAAGACGATCTAAGCGTTTTAAAATGTAGTCTCAAGCATAGACCTAAAGTGTCGCTCAGTCAATTTTTGTTGGCACCGGACTCTTCTTTTCGGATCAATACATTAGAATTAAAATTTGAAAAGGTGCTCGTGATTAAAAGGTTCCACCTATCTCCAATTCCCTGGTATCGTATACAGTATCAAACTTTTAATACAGTACATGCAATTCACTTCAACCTGGTAACTCAAACCTCCTGAAGTCGAATACCTCTTCNGCGTCGAATATTTTTGAAGTCCCAGTCTGAATTCCCTCAGAAACAATGCATTGAAAACAATTTTCCTGTGTCAATGAAATAGCATCTGAAAGGCCTCCAGAAAATTCGAGTTAAGGAGGTTTGAGGATGAAAGCGTTTAATCATTCAAAACGCTGTTTGAGGCCAAGAATATAACCGAATACAATATACTGGGAATCTTCTTTCTTGACCCCAACAAAAAGGTTTGTCTTCAAAATCGAAACCTCCCTCACTCAATTTTATTTTTCTGATCCCCTTGAAGTTCGATTTAAGGAGGCTTGGCTGTGTCCGAAAAACTATTAGAAATGACACTAACCGGGTTCCCGCCACGGAAAATACTTCAATCCCATCCCCAACAAGCACATTTCAGCAGTGTTCGTCAAGGTTCTTGATGACATGAAGAAGACTAGCCATGAAGTGAGCTGTAAAGCTGCTGTCCATTTGGCCGCTTTCGGACCGAACGCATTTCTTGAAGCCACGTACAAACCATAATCCCCATATCCGCAAATCGCGCTTTGAAATAACTTTGGACCCATTGTCTAATAAAACGACAGAAAAAAGCGGAATTCAACTATGCATGAAATTCGTAACTGTAAGAACTCACCATGGAAAAATACGATCGAGAGAGACCGAAGAAGTCAATAACTCGATAAAATATTGCGAACATCGTTGGATACAAATAACTTCGGATGCCTCGGCGCCATTCCCAAGTTTCATATCCATACCTGCAAGAATCACGACAGTATTCACACGGAGGTTCGAAGATTTTACGAATTATCGCGTGTTCTTATAACGAAATTCACGCGAGTACAAGTATCTACGGATTCTTTTCTTTACAGTATAGTGATTTTATCTTCGTTCGTCATCACTCGAGAATTTTCTTCGGGCGATGTTCTTCGACTGATGATACAAAGGAAACTACGAAGTCGAAAACTTGTCCTTTTCACGGTTTTTGAAGTCTCCCAACAAGTCAACATTTCGAATTCCACGTAAAATACACGAGAAATTAATCTGAAATCCTGAACTTGAAGCAATTCAAGCGCACAAATTCCGTTTTCTGCAAAAACATCACAACTGACATTTCCAAAAATGTTCCTAGTCGCTCTCGAAAGTTGAAAACTTCTTGTACACGGTATACCAAAACCGTACACACAACGGAATGTAACAAAATTTTGCATCTTAAATAAAGATGCAACTTAAGAAAATTTATGGAGAGAAAAGGGGCCGAACGCTTGGTCACATTCATACCTGAAATTCTTCACAAAATTTACTTTTTTCCGGTCATATTTCACAACTCATCCTGAGCCGTAAATAGATGCTCGATGACTTTGTGAGATCGTTATCGTCTGCGTAGGTAGGTGCATCCTTTAAAATACTCAATACCCCAACGGAGAGTCAAAGATTTCAGAGCTGACGTGAAATTTGTTATAAGCCTCATGGGAAACAAGGTATTTTGCATTCGCGCTATAAGGCAGTTTAATTTGATAGTCATGTGAGACAAACCACTACGTGAGCTCACCCGAAAACTGACCGATACGCAATTTCGAGAGATTGCCAATATTCATCCGGAACGAAATACGTTCTCACGAAAAAGGCTCCCAACATCCTGAAAGCTACGAATGCAACCAAATGCTTATTCAGCCTCATGATTGGATTGTTCATCCGGTTCTGGTATCGTCTCCAACAATTCACGATACACTTGTATCAACAGATCCAGACGAGGTCGGATGTCCAGGAACAAGGGCTGGAGCTTGCGTCCTTCGTCGCCGCATTTGATAACAAATGCTAGGTATGACGTTATCGAAGCAAACCCAATTCTCTCTTTAATGATGAGAGATTCTACGACTTCGATGGGTATCCAATCGGCCGATACAGTCCCAAATTTGTTTTTCCGTTCTATCTCGTATCCAAGCCCGGGAATCGCGAGAATACTTTCTTCGACTGTCTTTGAAAATGTCCAGAGGAACGCAAGGATAACGCACAGTGCGACGAAAGCAACGTAAATATTGGGCACGAGAAGTATCAACGCAGCTGCAGCCACGAAGATCCACAATATATTTGATGAAGTACGAAGCGACAGGTTGATTTTTAATGAACAAGCAGTCTGTTCCGCTTGCAGCTCGAATTCTTCACCGAAAAAATTCACAGCATCGATGAAACGTTTCGTCCAACCGAAATCACCGAATGCGCCACACTTCGTGCCACCATCCATGAAACTGAATTTATGTTCTCCATTATAGAAGAACGCCTGAAAATCACAAGACCGAGGGAATGACAAACCGTCACAATAGAAAAAAACAGAAGACCTTCGACTCAAATTCTTACACAATAATTTTATTGAAACAGAGTCTGAGAACATATACGAAAATGTCGCTGTACGATCACGTTGCTACCTTTTCTTAAATCCGTATTTTTTCCGTTCATAAAACAAATCCGTCTTCGAGCTACCGAGATTGACGATCTTTGGACATCCGTCTCTCTGAAATCAGAATATAAACAGTTCTGTTATTCCCTGAGCAACTGGATCTAACGATGCGCTCACGTCTTTCTCCAGGATTGTGCATTCCTTGCAGTAGTAAGCATCAGAAACTCCTGGTCCACCGCATATGACGCATCTACCCTGATAGCTTCCGTAGTTGCATTCATCGCAGATTCGTACGAGGGTGCAAGGTCTCACGTACGAATCACATATGACGCATTTTCCATCGCACTTCTCGCAGAGACGGCCAATGGCTGGAGGAGTCAGATATGATTGACCATCCATCAAAAGTTACAATGCTGAATTATTGTCATCACAGCTTACCGACTCCAGGTTGTTTGCGACAGAAGATAAGATCGGGATGATGCTTCGCCATCACAAAATCTCACGATGATGTCACTGGAACAGAATTACACAAGTTCGACCGATTACCGTACCCGCAACTTCTCAGACCTCTTTACATGCGGCGTTTAAGATGTGACCGCACGGCTTAATATACTTGGCTGGTTGCACACCCACTTAGGCACTCACTGGATATTATTAGAACGTAATAACCCATTTGATTCCCCAAAAATGTTCAAAAACTGGAATATTTAATTCCAAAGAATTGAATTCTGTGAGAAGCTGTGAATGCGAAGAAAATCAGTAGGCTCAGAGCCTAAGACACTGAGTGGTGATTCCACTAAGAGACGTGCTTGTCAAAGATATGTTTCCAAAACAGAGAACCAGCGTTGACAAGCCCGCCACCTATACGCACTGCAGTACTACTGTTTCATAGATACGAGCATGTTGGGCTTTCCGAAATTAATCAATGACTTCATCAACAGCAGGAAAGTAAATTATTCCAATAGCTCGCTATACACTCTTTTGGTTTCATTACAGTACTTCTGTGCGTATATCACTATTCCCTCAAGATCATATGATAGAGAACTGCTTCTGCACGCCTGGCTTTCTTGAAGAAATTCACGCTTCTTTCCATCGCTGATGATTCTGGTGTGGATGATTCTTGCGGTGATTTTTGGGAATAATTCTGTCTCTAAGATAATAACATCGGGTCGAAGGATATCAATAATTGACATTCGGTATTACAATGAATATATAGTAGCGAAATACATTGATACTATGCGCAATACATCAGAAAGCAGGAAAAGGCATCAAGGCATGGGTAAATTGGAAATACTGTACTGTTCAACTGCTGTACCTTGGAACAGCAATTGTCCCGAACAATACCTGCTGAGATCCTTTTATTGTCAAAATTTCCTCCGCAAATTTCAATATCCTCTTTCGTCCTTTAAAAATCTGGTTCTAAATGCTAACCACACCTGCAAATCAATGAACACTGGTTCCAAAAATAATCTCTAGGTCCGCCTGGCAGCAGAAGAAACACCACCATAGAAATATTAGTGCCATAAAAATATGATTGAGAATTAACTCTTCTAATTATATGAAGCAGCATTTTCAGTGCATCACGACGGCAGCACTCAAAAGACAATTTTACTGCAGATAAAACCGCCGACTGCTCCGTTGGTTCATTTCCTGTTTATAGGAACGCTTTGGTTATTCAAGAATTTCAATAAAGAAACATGGTTTCATTCGGTGAGCAAGTTATTTTGTGTTCCGCTTGGAAATATTCATCTTTATTTTTTTCAATGTATTTCTCAATTCCCACTTATGTTTAAAACACTGTTGGATTTAAAAAAAACCATTATCCATCCATTGATTGAAGAGAAGTAAAAATTCAGTTATTTACATTGATGTTTTAGAGCAAATGTACAACCATCTTTCTCTAAATCCTTTTCAACAAAATTCTCTTTAGAAACGAATTTTTTCCTAGCCCCCTTGAGTAGTTTCATTATTGTTGAGAGAGCCCACCTATTTACTGTATGCATATATACAGTATAGTACTGTACTCAGTACTGTATGCACTGAGCTCAGTATTGGAGCTGAGGTAAACATGGCAGGAATCTCAAAATTGATTTTATAAAATTTAGAGAAGCACTTGGGAGTTCTTGCCTCAAATCAGAGATCACATTCCTCAAATGGAATATTTTTCTTGGTATATCAGAAAATTATCAACCATGCCGTCATGAAAACAAATTTGTTTCTTCAACAGCAATATAATTGCACAAAAGGAGAAAGTCCCGGGATAAGCCTGATTTTTTTGTATCGTTCATAGTTAACTTATGAGCTCATTTTGAGAGTTGGCTATAAATTGCTTACATCATACAAGATGAGGATGAACATTTTGAGGTGAAATTTGATTATTGAGGGATAAAATCTGTGAAGCCCAAAAAATATACAAAAGACTCTCTCTAAGACAAAACACAAGGGACCATAAAAAAGTCATGGTGAACAGAATTTCGTTGTATAGAGAACCCATAATTAATTCATACGGACGGGGAGGAGGGGGGGGGGGGCAAAAATCTGTATACTGTACAGAAAAAATATTCGTAGACAAGATCTTTTTAGAGAGGGTCAAATTTCACTGTCGTGAAGTATTTTTTTCTAACGGATTTTTAACATTTTATTCACATATTTTAGGTTGTTTTTTGCTTGAAATTCCATCCTGATGAAAAGTTTATCTTGACGGATTTTTACCAATGCGGCAAAAAATTCCGAATAACTCCATGCGTATTCTGAAATGTGTCAAGAACAGCATCCATTTCTTTTTCGAATCTTGCAAAATACGTAATATTTTCATAACACATTCACTCGCGTTTTTCCCTATATTACACCGTCTTGTCTCTTTTCTGATTCTCGTCAACATAACGTTAATTCTGAATTTGAATTTTTTACTTGAAATTGTATCCTGATGATCGATTCATAAGAATAATATTTATTCTTGTGAAATATTAACCATGCGTGGCAAACTGAAAATAAAAATAATAACGGAAATCCATGCGCATAATAAAATGTGTCAAGAACAGCATTCATTTCTTCTTTTCTCATCTTGCAAAATACATATTTATATCTTCATCACTCATCGTGCCCCTCATATCCCCTACACCGTCGTGTCTCTTTTTTGATTCTCGTCATCAAATGCCCGATTTTGCACGCCATTATTCGCATCATTCCTCGTATCAACACTACTCCGATCCATCATTTTTGTCTTCACTGCTCGCCAGGCTTTCGCCAAAACAAAGGCAATCCAAAGAGGTGGACCCGTCATGAGCAACTGGGCAGTCGGAGACGCCACAGCGATATCCGACGCTGGCCTCGGCAATGACAACTTGAGCACAATCATCGCGATTCCGGCATTTTGAAAGGCCGTTTCAATGGAAACAGCCTTGATTTGAGCCAGGGACAAACGTGCGGCGAATGCACCTGCTGCTCCCAGCACGAATCCGAAACACGCGACGAAAAGGCCAGCCAACAACATTGGTCCAGTCAGCAGGTAGAAGACGTAGGCGTTTGAATACACTCCAACCTGGAAATATGAGAGAAATACAGTGGGAATTCGATGTATAAGGAAGATTCGCATTAGAGTCACTTATAACTGAAAAAAATCTGCTCAAGCATCCAGACAATAATGACTAAAGATATGGGGGACACTTTGCCGAAATTTTCCAGGATAAAAGAGATTATATATCTTGAAGAAATTGAGCTATTTTATTTTTAAAAAATTAAAAATACGTTCAATTATAAATTTATTCTCAAAAACAGCAGGCTGACTTCGTGCTTCTTTCTCAGACTTACCTTTTTTATATTCTGGGCACATCATAGCAAGATTTATTCTTGTTCCTTGCTTTCTTTTGATGCCAAAAGATCCTATTCTACATGGTTTTCTTCTGCACATGCAGTTTAATTTTATCTTGAAGTTTAGGGAAGGAATCTTGTGTTATCCAGGAGATACTTGGATTTGTTTCCAAGACCTATTTTTAAATTGCACCTTACTTTGAGGAAGCAAACAAGGTTTTCTCCCTGCATCTTTTCCCTTGTTTTGAAATCGCTCTTCTCATGTCACCCCAGGTTAAACAGCTTGACGCGCTTTTGTCCTCTTTAACAAATATAAAACTCCCCCTCACTTCTGACAGTGACAAATGTTATCTGTGCATCCGCACCTCTGAAATACGTATTTCAGAGGTATATATTGTATACAACAGATTTGCATATGTATATTGTGTTGTGCATCATGTTTCTAATATTTTGCTTCATGAGGTCTGCGCACTCATGAATAATATACAAAATACCTTTGCTGATGGCCTATATACCTGAAAAGCATATATATTGCTGAGGAACAATATTTTCCTGAGATTTAATCCTGTGTCAACTGTGGTTACATCTCAGAGAACCTTGTGTACGTTTAACAAGATTCTCTTTAAAAAAAAATATGTTTGTTTATTTTTGAATATTGTTTGAACCTTGCTTGTTATATATTGAAAGTCTGTTTTATTTTATGGACAACACTTGATTCATTTTTTGGGACTTATTCCCAATTTTTCTTTATGAACAGGAGAACAGATTGAATGGATGTTTCCATTGAAGTCTGTCATGTCTGTGAGGATAATGTGACCCAACATGAAGACACTCTGACATAGGGACAAGGTGCCAACACCAATTACATCTGCATCTCAGGGTCCAGCAGCTGCATTATCCAGATCGAACCTTGATTTAGTGCCACCATTTGCCCTGGCAGATTCTGTTGCACTATATAAGCAAGGGTGGCACTAAATCAAGAGCATTATTATGCAAAAGGAAACAGTGAATATGTAGTTGAGGGTTTCTACTGTAGCTTCAACAAAACAAGCTTGGTTATATAATTGTTTACAATTCTGTATTATGTACTCATTCCATTTTATGAAATAGAAAGCCACAAAAAATAATTCTACGCATATAATATAACCTTTTCATATAGCATTTCAAAATATTTTAAAAGGCAAAATAGATTTTTTTTAGTATAGTACATAGTCAAACCTTGATAAACTGCCAAGTTCGTAATGGTTTAACAGTGTTTTAAATTTGAATGGGGTTAGTGGTTTATCAAAAAAGCTAAAATATTATCACAAAATGATGCACAGTACTGTATATACAGTAACAGGAAATAAAATTATTATTATTCTAGAAAACAATAATAATAACACTCTGGGATGTATAAATTATATCTAGCTAATCTTTCCATTGATTAATCTATGTCGTGTACTTCATGTATCAATTTATTTTATTTTTGCATTGGAAACCTCTCGCAGAAACTAAAATGCTGTTGGTGGTGTGCTATTGCAGAAAAATTGATTGGCAACTGTTATAATAATTTTATGGAGCTTCTGGAATCCATTGCACCAGTTCGTAGAATTTGATCAAACGAAGGAAACGTGTGGAAAAATAACTTGAATTTTACATCATTTCATCTGACGAAGATAACGCATCAAAAAATCAAATTGAATTTTACATAATTTCGTCGAACAAAGGAAAATGTATTGAAAAACAATTTGAATTTTACCGTGAGCAGAATGGCGATTAGAACGCAGGTGAACGGCTTGATGAT